AAACTAGAAGGATAGATCCTAACTACTAGTGCTCTAAGTAACTTGGAATGTACATGTACAACAGGCTGAAATATCCACCATTAAATCAATCAATCAAACAAACTAAAATTGCAACTACGATGTAGTTGTGATAAATTCCGATTCCTTACAATACAATGATGGCAGCTTGGGTAGAAAGAGAGCAAGATCCAACATTAGATCAATTATTAATGCTCACGTGGTAAAGGAAAGTTGACTACATTGCATCAGACAGAAATCAAAGTCATATACACTGCAAGAAGAACAATTCTCAACGGTGTGCAAAAAATCTTTTCTTCTTTTTTTATTGCATCAAAATGAGAGTTAGCATGCCATATTAGGGAAAGAGAATTTGACCCAAGGGAAGACGGCTCTAACAACATGTAGGAGCATCACACTACGCAGAGCACAATGTAGATACATCATTTATTCCAAACTTTAAAACACCTCACTTTCTCTAAAGTTCTGTTTTTTTGAAAGATTTACCATATTCCTTCTGATATTAAGCCAACCTACTGTTCTAAACTTTTAAAATCGGCATTTTAAGCAACTCTAACAAAACATTTTTAAAGGGGAAAATCATTTATCCATGATATTCAAACTTACTGAGTAATTACCATATAAACATATAGCTTGTGTATAGCAACATGGCATATTTGACCTTAAAACAATATGAAGGATCAATAACATTCCTCATATATTTATTGCAATGTCTGCTCTGTCATGTTCAATGAAATATTGTTGGCAACAGGCGTCACATGGTGATCCATCTTACCAGCAGCATTCTGTCAACTCTAGTAAGTGGGCATGACATAAATACAATTCACTATAAAGGCTGCTTGTTCCTCACATTTTTTGGGTTTAGTCTGTTTTTTTCCCTAGTCTAAAAATAAGATTTGTGACATAAGGTGAGAACTGTTTTTATTTTTAAATCTAAAAGGAAATTCCACCTGTCAAAAATCAGCACCAAATGGTCTTTGGATAGGTAATTTGCAAGTTACATTTATCAAACAAATAACTGTGAGACACTCATCTAAGCTTTCTTTAAAAACTGACCATGAGCCAAAGCATTTTAGTGTGCATCTTGAATTGCAAATGATAAAAGAAACTCCACAGCTGGTCCAGTGAATATATATATATATATATATATATTGCATTTTGTTCCTGTTCCTCTTGGATCAGATTAGTTTCTTTCTACTCATTTAGTAACGGGAATGGGCTGAATGCACAACTTTCATTTTATCTTTTTACATGCTTTGGAGTGTTTCATATCAAGGCTATTAGAACAAAATTTGACTAAACAAAGAAAGGAAGGTAGGGGGGTGGGTGGGGGTGGGTGTGGTTGGGGGGGCAGGACAGTGGGGACTTACCAAACAAAGTAATATATAGTTCTCGTCCCAGTGAATTGTAGAAAACTTTAATTCTTAAATTAAAACTGGACACCTACTCGCTTACCCATCTGGCCCTTAGATTTAAATCGTTTTACTAATCTACTTTTTCATCTTATTTGTTGCGGATCTTTGTGGAGGATGCCTTTCATTCACATCAACAGACCAAGAAGGGCAGAATCATAATAAATCGTCTGATTTTCAGTCCCGCCTATGTTATCTCTTTTAACTTTTTACAAAAAATTTAATTCCCATTTAAACTCAAAGATACTGTTGAATATACACACAGAGTCAGTGGCTATACTATTTTACAATGACAAATTGCACAGCCCTAACCACCAATTATAAATACATAATAACTTTAATCAAAATTTACATCTTAATTAAATCAAGATTGTAACCTCGTTCATAAACAGCAAGAGGTTTTATAAAGTACTTCCCACTAAACTATAGTACAGTGTACAACAAGCAAAGTACTAGTAAATAAAATAATTCATTTTTCAGTTTTTCATCTTTAGGTGCCACTACGAATCGTCCTCTGCTGTGGGCGTATTTTTTGCATTGTCTTTAAAATCTGGTACTGGTAATTTTTTAATTCCACCACTAGATGGCACTGCTGATGTTGCTGTGTGTTTTGCTTCTTTTTCAGACTTGGCCTCACTGTGAGCACCTGCAGTGTCCTTGACATCTGGTGACTTTTCATGAACTTTGACCTCTTGAAGCTCTGTGCTTTCCTTAGTAGGAGATTCATCCTCCATCGAGGGCCAGCTTGTTTGACTTTCTACTTTTCCCATCCTTTCATTTAGAGCTTTTAGGGCCACTTGTCTAGAAAGCAAAGAAGAATAGGTCAGGCAAATCCCTGAACAACAACAACATAAAAAAAAAAATTGTAGTGCTATAAAATGTAGTGAACAACAGTGCCGCAACTCAAAGCAATTTGCCATAAAACAGAAAATATCACACCCAAGATGTTACTTGAACTCACCATGTCAAAAGTGGTTCAGTGTCTATGTTGGATGGATTATTTGGTGCCCAGTTTTTAAGGTTTCATAGTACACTTAGCAACTTGACTTTATCAGTAATTAAATCAACTTTCTTACAATCTCAGAGTTGCCCTTGTATCATAACAAACCACATCCATACTTCAGGGATAGAGAGGGTTAACCGAATTTAATTTGATCATGTGTATTAAATTTCTAAGGAGAAAAAAAAAATTCCCACCTCCTCCTCTCTGCGTCTTGTGGGTCTGTCCCAGGCAGGCTGATGGTAATTGTAGTAGGTGAGCTGACATCATACCTCCTCTCTGGCTTCTTGCACACTTTGATCTTCACCAAGAAACTGAAGATTGTGTTAGAGGCGACTCCCACAACCGGCTGGACTGGGGAGGGCCAAAAACTGCAACAATAAACCAAAAAATAATCACTGCATCTAAAATCTAAACATCATGGATGAATTATGAAAAAAAAAAAAAAGAGTCAGAAAAGGTCCTTACTTATCCAAATTTGATCTACTGTAGGTTATTTGCCGTTTCTGAGGCTAGGTCGACTAAGGGGATAAAAAAGTTCTCCATTCTGAAAAGGTCCCACCTTTGAAATTCCTGTCTTCAGGCCAGAGACTGAAAGTTGTTCTTAACTTTTAAACCAGAATGTCAGTTAACTTCAAGTCAGGATATATACACACTGTAGTCTACTTAAATTAATTACAGAGCCTGCTTAATATCAAGAAAGAAATTGCTAATGTTTATTAAGCAGTTTTGGCCCAACATACAATATTTACTTTAATTTTCCTTAGTAGACTACAATTATACCAATTCCTGTTATGTAAGGTCAAACTAGACTAAATACCTCAGTACTACACTCAAATGACATGCACGCAGCTTATTTATCTTTAAAACATGAGATTACATTATTGATACGTAGTATGCCAGCAGTACAGATTATGAAAAAATATGCTGGTATATAATATTAGTTGACTGACTGTGGCTACAGGAGACAAAATTCTCAACATGAATCTTTCACAAAGGATAAAACCTTATCTGCAGTTCAGAGCCTATAAATCTCTAGTGAAACATGCCTTGTGTCTTTTCCTGATCTTTTTAACTATGTGATGAAATAGGCATAAGGCCCTGATATAGCAAAAGATATTAATTCCCAGGATGTTTCCCTTTATTTCCCAAGGAACATCTTTTTCAAATCCGCTGTCAAATTCATGATCTTTTTAAGTTTTAGCATCCCAATAAACATTCAGCACTCTCTATCTCCATTAAAAGAATAACTCCTTCTTTAAACTGTTATTGTAAAGACCTTATGACACTGTTGATATTGAGGAGATACGCTATTGATAAAAATCTTCTTAAGAAAAATGTGTAATAACACTTTGTAACCCCACCTAGGGCCAATTGCCACACATTTTTTCAGCCTTGCATGATGTCACGCAGTACCATCAACCTCATTTAAGGCTATCGCCCATTACTCCATTTCAATATGAATGCATCACAGTTGAAGTGATACTGGATAAAATACCACATTTTGTATGATCTACGACCAAATGACAAGCCTGAAGTGAGGATTTCTCTACTGTACACACACATACCTAGCAAACGAAAAATTATCAGCCATGTCTCCTCTAGTCCCCTTCCCATGGCTCTGATAGAACCTCAGGTAAATCCAACTGGTGAGCAAGCCTGCAGTGTACATTATGGGGTATGGTCCCTCGAGGGCACCTGCCACTCGCAGTATAACAGTCACTACCAGCAGGAGAACAGGAATGTGGTTGTTACGCAGCTTCCCAAAGGGCGACAAGAACAGCACATGGTCCGGCATCATCTGTTTGACAGCGACGGTGAATCCACCGATGAAACCGGCCAGGCCGTGGATGTATGTCTCGAATAAAAAATCCGGCTGTCGACTTGCTAGATAGACGATGATGTAAACAAGGGAAGATATTAGAGCGGTCCCCACGTTCACAACCATGAAAAATATTAGCAGCTCCAGCGCTCCCCACAGAGGCTCCAATAGCTTCCCACAGAGAAAAACGACGGCGATGTCTATTAGGACATGCCAAATGTGAAATTGAACAAAACAGTGAGTTAGAAAAGTCCAAACCCAGAAATTGGGTGGCAATACATAACCCGGCGTGACTGTGATATAGGGAATGACATTTGATGCAAACGACAGCAAATACCCTACGAATAACGCTCCGCATACGCTTTTAACAACCACGCTGCTTCCTCCTAAAGCCTCGGAAAATTGTTGTTTTACGTAGGGGGCATTTCTTCTCACTATGGAAGCTGCCATCTTGGATCTCCACTTGGCACTGACGTCATTTGACCTAATTTGTTCCAGGTAAAATTTTGGGGAGAGAATAAAATAGAAGTATTATGTTAATGTATATGTCAAAAGTGATACAGAATCAGTACAAATATAATAAATTTCATCATAAAAGACTCTTCTTGAAAATCAGAAATATAAACTTTTCAGTTATTTCATTTTATCAAAATTTGTTATTTCATGTTACTTTTCATTCATTATCTAAGCCTGTACCCCGAAAAACACGACGACCTAGTTTAAAACATGGCGCAAACCCCAGAGAGAGCAGTGATGTTTTCGGCATGTTTTTATTGAGGTGCAGATTATGTGACCAGTTTTTATTGGTAAAATACACAGGTGGTTGCAGATTAATTTTATAACAATCTATATTGTTGTCTTTTATTTTCCACTCTCATACAGTACACCGATAACCGTGGAAAAAAATCTACTGTAATCAGCATTTATTTACTGCAAATTGCGATGTGTATCGTTGTCAATTTCACCATGCACCCCCTTCCTCTGACACCAGCTTTAACTTGAAATGAATATGCATTAAGTTTTAGCTGAAAGACGTACCGTTTAAAGTAGGCTGGTTGTTGTGCATTTCAGCATTTATCAGAGATCGAGGGCGTCATAATTTAGGAGAGGATGGATTTCTTCGAAGCTGTGGTAGATGAAATTGCACTGGAAGGTTTAGATGGTAAGGCTGAAGACTTAGAACTATTAGATGATACTACTACTACTACTACTACTACTACTACTACTACTACTACTACTGTGCATCAGCATTAAAAAATGTGGGATAGATACAATAGCTTCAAGGATGTTTTTTGTTCGTTTGAATTTCCTGACTATGAAATATTGCTCAGTGTCTCCAGACGTATTCTGTTCACTGTATGACTTTCTTAACAAATTACAGGTATAACAATAGCAACACTATGGTTACGTCTAGAAGATCGGCGACNTATATGTTGTTAATGATTAGTGTTTTTGATTCTCCAGTTTGAAGTGCTTTTGACAGAAGTAGGGCACTAGTGTCACTGTTATGGGGCCTTTTTTTTCACAACACATTTTTCAGATAGCTGCACATTTTATTATTTCATTTTATCCATGTTAAGATCTATATATATATGTATAGTAATATATACTAGTAGATTAATTGTAAAATTCAACTTCTAAGCTTACATGTGTATAACAAGTACGTGTTTTAATGTAATGTAATGTCTATCACACAGATGGGGAAACAAGTTGGTGATTGTTGCGTCTCAAGAGATTAGAATTGCGGCCTTGTTTGGAGCGGAGCATGATCCCAATTGGGAGTTTGTCAATGCACAGTACTGTCTTCTAGAGAGAATAGGACGGTAAGTGGGTTGATGATGTAAAATGTATAATATCAGTCGGTGATTTTCTATCAAAGTATTTCTTATTGAAAAGGGTCAGAAAAAGAATCATCACATTAAATTCCAGATGATCTTTGAAAATGCTTATCACCTTCGAAAAATTTATATTTTCAAGATGATTTCTGGTTGGGTTAAGGAGTTGAGCCTGTAACCTGAACACTAGTCCCATAACAAGTGGCAGTATAATTGAAGTCAGGCCAGTGTAGAATTTTACCAATTTGGCCTCTTTTTCTAATTTGAGCCAGTAGATTTTTATCCCTTGGGTCAGTAGGCTTAAAATTTTTTGACACAGACTGGTAGTGCACATTGATGATAGTTGAGTCTTGTTCTTGTCTTGGCTCAGGTCACGATGGAACGGTGCTGCCACCATTGGGACCCAGAACTTACTGCAGGTGTTCAGGGGAGCCTCAGGTCACCTGTATTATGTCCGCAAGAGTTTACTGAGGCATGGTTTTATTATGAGACAGGTGAGTTAAGGTGTGTGTGTGTGTGTGTGTGTGTGTGTGTGTGTGTGTGTGTGTGTGTGTGTGTGTGTGTGTGTGTGTGTGCAGGGGAGGATTCAAAGATATTTTCTGACAGTCTTCCAAATTATCTTTGTTGATCCATTCTTCAATTTTGACCGTCTTCCGACAGAAAAAAATAGATACCCATCAATGTAAACTTGAAAATCTGTCCGTCTTCCGGAAGACCCAGAAGACGGCCTAAATCCACCCCTGTGTGTGTGTGTGTGTGTGTGTGTGTGTGTGTGTGCGTGCGCACCCTTGCAAATGATGCAAGTACAGATATTTTAATGATTATTGTTTCTGCTGGCGTTTTCAGAGATGTGGTTCATTTTGAGATGTGCATATGTGTGTGTGTGTGAGCAGTGTATGCAATGGAACCTAATGATTGGTGATGTTGTGAAACATTCAAATGGAGACAAATCATCTGTAAAAATAGAACACATGATGAAAAAAGTTGATTGAATGGCTGAATGGTTTTGCATAGGTATCTTTAAAAAAGCACAGGGCATAGAAACATATATAATTTAATATTTTTAAATTTAATTTACCATTTTCAGGGCTATCTGGAAAAATGCCCTGGAGGCCGTATTAACAATGGCCGCCTGTTCCACTTGAAGAGATTTTACCAACTACACAAACCCAGGTCTCAGGTTATCTTGGAGAGTGCTGCAGCCTACCTGGAGGCTAAACCAGGGAACTGGGAGGTCACCTCAGTACTCATTGAGAAATTGGTTTGTATTTTTTTTGATGATAACTATTATAATGATTTCATAATCATATCAGTCAGTATAATGTATATATTTAAACTCTAAAAACCAAAGACTAAAGTCTCTTGTAATGTTTTATCATTTAATTAATAAAATGCTCTGTATCATTTGAAATAAATGGTCTCCTGAAAACTTTCAGAATTTGGATGAAGCTGGAACCAGAACCTTTTGGAAATTTTGCAGTAACTACATCAAATCAAAACTCGTACCTTACCGTGATGTTTATCCTGAAGCCACGGAAGAAGAATACATGGCCAAAAATAAAATGTAAGAGTCTCAGTACTTTTAACCAACTTTTATGTGGTCACATTCATGATATTTTATTATTTTTTTGTTTCAGATGGAACTGGCACCCATAACGCCCAGTTATAGTTTTAGCAGCATGTCTTGATGTCTCCAACCCTGAAACTCTCTTCCTGTCTTTCTTGTAACTGTTACATGACTCCTTTTTACTCTTTTAACAGCTTATTCATATATCAATTTTCTTACTTTTTTCAAGCAATATAAGATTTCGTGGGACATACAAAATTGTTAATTTCTTGAAATTAGACATTTTTTTATAACTTTTAATCAGTGTGACACAGGGGAAACTGCAAAGTTACACAAGTCTGCTGCTAGCTAGAGGGACATATAGCCTGTTTGTGGGATATGATATTCCAATTTAAATTTAGGTCCACCCCTTGTGCGAAAAAAGTTAACCAGTAACTGCTAAATAAAATAATTTGGATTAAGATAAGGAATTTTTTAAAACACATATTAGTTTTTATCTGTATTAGATCATATTATTTATAAAGTATTATCAAGTATTTTACTATTAGGTTATCAATATATTGTTGTTGACACATATTGTAAATGATACAGTACCTATATATAAATATATATTGCAAATGACTGAGTGTCTCTTTGTGAGTGAGTGAGTGAGAGAGTGAGTGAGAGTGATTTTTATTTAGTTAGTTATCGACTTTGTATTTTTTTGTTGAGATCTGTATTTTTTTTTGAGATATGCAAAAAAAAAAAAAAAAAAAAAAAAAAAAGGATTAAATACAAAATAAGGGTCAAACAATTTCTTAGAAGCCTTCTAGTTTAAGGTGAGATATATATTGCCTTAAATGCTTCTTTATCTACATTGCTGGTAGTCTAGTAAAGGCTGTATCACACCAAGCGTAAAGAAGTATGTATGAGTATTGTTTTTGATACTATATTTGCACAACTTGGAGCGTATGAAATCCCCCTTTCGTATAAAAATGAATATCTAAAGCAACGCATGAAATTCTTTAACATGCTCAAAAATTTGCCTGCGTACTCGAGACGTGTATTACCNAAAAAGTAGAGAATTTTTTACTAATATGTTTCAGGGTGGAGAAGTCTGTGAGGATCTATACCCTGGTGAAACCCCTGAAGGTGGAGGAAGAGGAGGAAGATGATGTAGAGGAACCAGAAGTTGAAGGTAATATGTTTTAGGTGAAAATAGCATGTTTGTTTTCCTGAAGGGTTGATGTTATTCTTATGTGGTATATTATTGTTTGTAACTTTATTCGCATGAATTTCTGTTTTGTACTGTACATAACCACTGTTTCACAATTTTTAGAATATGTAGTGCATTTGCCAACACTAGAATTTTTATTTTACTAAGGCCCATTTAACATTCAATGGTAGTTTTTTTTGTATTCAACAAGTTTGACAACTTTATAGCCTGGTTGTTGCATATGAGAGACACCTAAAAAGAGCCAGTTAGCCAGATAATAAAAAAAATGGGAGCATGAAAAATGGAGTAAAAAAAAAGATTGATTCGTGTGTGTGTGTGTGTGTGTGTGTGTGTGAGAGAGAGAGAGAGAGAGAGAGAGAGAGAGAGAGAGAGAGAGAGAGAGAGACATCCATAGTGTGTTCACGTGTTTCAGTCATAGCAACACAGAAAACTGTACCATGTGATGTGAAAAAGTTCTTGCTCTAATCCTAGGACATCTACTCTGCTCATCTTTCAGCTTCAGCAACACAACTCTCCCCACTGGCCGAGGAAGTGTTGGAGAGATCAATGCTTCATATAGCCTACAGACTGATCCTGTCCAAGGGCTTGGAAGGCATCAGTGTTAAACAGGTGTCCAGTGAGCTAGGGATTCCACAAATTGAGGCCAGGGCTCTCCTTAAAGCCCTCGTGAAAAAGGAGGTAAGATAACTGCCGTCACTCCTACAAAATTAAATTGTTTTTAAATTAAATTACAGCTAGTGCAAATAAAACTACTGTGATTGCTTCAGCATGTTTTGTTCATATCAGATTAGAATAAAGGATTCAGCATATTGAAATAGATGTAGTCTAATTTTGATTAGTGATTTTTACACCAAGGCAACGGCAAATTGGCTCTCTCCATTTGCAATTGAAACCTGGATGCCAGTGAGATCCTTAATGATTCAATAACTTACTCTTATCTAATCTTAGTTCAAAATTTATTATAACTAATTTGAAATGGATTATAATTATGAGGATAATTTAAAATTTTTTTCAGCTCATCTTTGGCTATTTTGTTGAAGTTCAGAAAACCAAGAAGAATATGTGAGTACTACTGACTTGGCAATAGACTTGCTTTTTGACATATACCCTTAAATAACCAGACATTTTGAGTCTGTCCAAAATATAGAAATCTTTTACTATTCTTTTGGTCTCAAAAAGAGGTGAATTTTACAGTAATGCTCTGTGTCTCGTCCTTCTAAATGAACACTTTATCTGAAGTGACAAATACTAATAAAAAGGACAAACGGTATTGTTTCAAAATTTGGCAGATGAAGGCCGCATTTGTTGTAACACCCCTCTCTTAAAAGAAATAATATAGATTCACAATTAACAATGAATTATATTGAATGGTACCATTCATGTAATGATTAGGCCTGAAAAATTAGATCCATAAAATTTTCAAACAAACTGCATATTTAAATTTGTGGGTTTCAAAACTGGCCCCAAACTTCCCTTTGCTGTAATTTTCCTTTTTATAGGTTTGTTTCAAATGTCTATAAAGAACAGTATCATGAGCAGAAAAAGCTGAAAACTGCTGTTAAATATGAACCACCTGACGAAGATGGGAGTAAAGGTATGGAATTAAAGGTGTTTGAGAGACCAATGTCAAGAAAATTAATTATCATTGCCTACCAGTCAAGATCAATACATATTTTCGCAATAAAAGCCGAATCAGGTATTGCAGATGAAAAAAAAAACACCTCAGTGTTTTGCAACAAAGAGGTAGCATATGGGAAATAACTGATGTGCAAGAATGAGCCACAATTTCCCAATCATCATAATATCTTAATCATTAAAATATATTAATTGCTGTATGATAGATGATGTAGTGGAGACAACAAAACCCCCCATAATTATTGCAGTCATTGTGTTTTATTATAGATAATGCAGAAGAATCGACACACCCCAGTGAAAATGTGCCCGGAGAAGAACTGGACAGTACAATGGATATGACGATGAACACTACAGCAGATGATAGCACTGTGACTGCCAGCACTAGTGTGGGTGATGAGAAGTCTTTTGTCGACATAAAACATACTGATGCCAATCCGGAGGGAAAGAGAAAACAAAGCAGAACTGGTACGTCAGTTGTCCTCTTTTTGTTGATAATAATAATAATAATAATAATAATAATAATAATAATAATGATAATTTAAAGGTGTTTAAACACAACTGTTACATTATCTGTGTTACTACAGAAATGAAAATGACAAATTCTTAAAGAGAGAGAGAGAGAGAGAGAGAGAGAGAGAGAGAGAAGGCTGTCATGAAATTGAAAAGGTTTCATAATGTCAATTTTCATTATAATATTATTTGAATACTTGTTGTTGTCATGAGGAAAATGAATAATGTAGTTTGTTCCATATTTGTTTTTGTTTTAGATTTTACTGAGCGGGTTCTTAAAAGAAGACAGTATATTCTAAACTATGTGCAGGCAGAGAAAGTTGTAGTTTTCATCAATGTTATAAAGGTAAATGCTTTAAGACACAATTACCATTGTAACTTTTGGCAAATGATATTATTATTACTTTTATTCCGTGTTTTGATATTCCGTAAAATTGCTTTGTAGTTAGCCTGAGTGCAATTTTAGAATTCTATTTTTTATAAAAAAACCTCACCTAGAAACTGCATTGAGAAGCCCTCTAATGATTTACAACTATTAGATGAGGAAGACATTTAAAGGGTTATGAAAATGATTCAGAAAAAGCTGCCATTATTAATTGTACCACCAGCGTTAGCGCTGGCGGTACACATGGTTTCGGTCCCGTCCGGATCGTTCCGCCGGCTCCGCCGGACGGCTACCGTTACCGCTTCTCCTCCTAGACGGTAAGGGCCCCCGTACCCATCTCATAGATTTAGGTCACCTATAATCTCAACTCGTTCCACGTAAAATTTGGGCTTTGTCGGTATTGGGGTCTGGGTGTGGCACTCATTACAATGCACCCTTGTCTAAAAATGGCAAAATTAAATGCTAATTATCTACCCTACGGAAGGAGTTATGGGAAAAATTTCTATAGACGGCTTTCCAAAAGTCATATGTGTAGATTTCAAATATACCCTTGGATTTGACCTTTGACCTTTACTTCAAGGTCAAATGGGCCAAAATTTTCAAAAAAATGAAATTTTTTACGAAAAAAAATTTTTTTGCCCTGTTATTCAGACACCACACAGACTTAACCAATAATATTATTGGAAAGTGTTACCCTTCAGGTCATCTTTCATCTCCNGCAATAACCGATGTTCAAGAATCAGCCACAATTTCCCAATCATCATAATATCTTAATCATTAAAATATATTAATTGCTGTATGATAGATGATGTAGTGGAGACAACAAAACCCCCCCATAATTATTGCAGTCATTGTGTTTTTCTTTGTTTTATTATAGATAATGCAGAAGAATCGCCACACCCCAGTGAAAATGTGCCCAGAGAAGAACTGGACAGTACAATGGATATGACGATGAACACTACAGCAGATGGTAGCACTGTGACTGCCAGCACTAGTGTGGGTGATGAGAAGTCTTTTGTCGACATAAAACATACTGATGCCAATCCGGAGGGAAAGAGAAAACAAAGCAGAACTGGTACGTCAGTTTTCCTCTTTTTGTTGATAATAATAATAATAATAATAATAATAGTAATAATAATGATAATTTAAAGGTGTTTAAACACAACTGTTACATTATCTGTGTTACTACAGAAATGAAAATGACAAATTCTTAAAGAGAGAGAGAGAGAGAAAGAGAGAGAGAGAGAGAAGGCTGTCATGAAATTGAAAAGGTTTCATAATGTCAATTTTCATTATAATATTATTTGAATACTTGTTGTTGTCATGAGGAAAATGAATAATGTAGTTTGTTCCATATTTGTTTTTGTTTTAGATTTTACTGAGCGGGTTCTTAAAAGAAGACAGTATATTCTAAACTATGTGCAGGCAGAGAAAGTTGTAGTTTTCATCAATGTGATAAAGGTAAATGCTTTTTGACACAATTACCATTGTAACTTTTGGCAAATGATATTATTATTACTTTTATTCCCTGTTTTGATATTCCATAAAATTGCTTTGCAGTTAGCCTGAGTGCAATTTTAGAATTCTATTTTTTATAAAAAAACATGTCACCTAGAAACTGCATTGAGAAGCCCTCTAATGATTTACAACTATTAGATGAGGAAGACATTTAAAGGGTTATGAAAATGATTCAGAAAAAGCTGCCATTATTAATTTGATTTGTTTGGCTGGTGTCACTGAACCGTGAATAGGATGATCTTGGAATGTACTCACTGGCACAGTGGTGAACATATATGATTTTCTCATAAATTTTAAACATGCTTTCCAACTTTCTTTTCCAGTATATAAAATCAGAGGAACGAAAAGCTGGAATCGCCACTGAAGTTGACAGAAGGACTGTTAAAAGACTTTTGGACCAGTTGGCAAAGGAAAGCAAAATCAAGCAATTGAAAACTGTTATAAAACATCTCGGCCGTGAAAAAGAGGTTAGTCTGTTTGTCTGTTCCAGGAAAAAATCTAATGAAAATTCTAAAGATTAAAGAAGCCTGCTACATCCTTTGTTTGTTAATAACCTTTCTACTCCTTGAAGTTTTTCATTTGTTTATTTGTGATTTGCTTTGTAATTTGTTTTGGAAATCTTCTAACTGCTTACCGACAACCGTGTAAATTATCGATGATAGTTTGTCTAACTGAAGAGGATGTTTTTGGTAATTTTTCAACAGGTCTTCCCCTGAAAAAAAATTTGTTGGTAATACTTAAAATGTTGGTACAAAGGTTATGAAAGCATAAGTTACAGAAAGTGCCTTTTAATCATGATACTGATCTTGGGGTTTAGTTTTGCTTTTTTGACTCTCGATTGCATATTTTCAGTATCACCTGATCATGACCCCTGAGCTCACAGCAGACGACCCCCTGGTGCGGAGTGTGATCAACAAAGCCAAGATGGTTCATCTTGCTGTGGGCAAAGACTCAGCCAAGGCTTCAATACGTGCACAGACTGTACAGTCAAAATTGAAGGACTTGGAAAATAAGGTCAGGAAGATTAGGAGTAATTAAATTAATCTTTAAGTTTAACATATTCCATTATTTTATTTTCAAAAGATAAGCCTATTACTCATCACATTATTACAAACACATAGTATTGAAGCTTAATTTTGTTCCCAAGTTTGCTAATGGATTGATAATGGTTGTCCATAGGTGTCTTCCGGAAGTGTGACAAAGTGGTTTCTTCTTTTCAGTGACTCAAACTGGTCCAGAAATGAATGAAAACATTTTCTCTCTCTCTCTTTCTGTCTGTCTGTCTGTCTGTTCGTCCATCTGGCCATTTATCTTTTCAACCTGAAATGGGATAATCTTCATGAAAAGTGTGTGTCTTTTAATATCTGAATTTCAGTTTTTTAAATATTTTTGTCTGTACTCAGAGTGGAGAAAAGGGGAAGGAAGCAGACGTCAAACAGTCCATTAAAAAGCTTAAGGTCCTTGCTGGGAAGCTAAAGCCAGGAGATCTGCAGTATGATGCAGTGAGTACAGTAGGCAACATTATCCACTGGTCAGAGCAACATTATCCACTGGTCAGAGCAACATTATCCACTGGTCAGAGCCAATCAGCCAGTAGAAAAAAAAAAAAGAAAAGTTGAGATTTGGTACTCAAAAAGAGCTTTATGAATTAAAATTTTCTCGACAGTTTTAGTTATGGTATACCCTAGTTATTAAAGGAAAGTTGTTGACTTTTAGAACACATGATATTAATGATAAACACTTGACAAACTGTCATTATCATACTCACCACTTCATTTATTATGTTCATAAAATTAATTTTTTTGTTATTATCAGAAAGCCACCAGATCTTATGGTCTCCAACCCAAGTTCAAAAAAGCTGAGATAGTCCATAAGCTACTGTGGTACCTTATATATGAATATAAAGGAAAAATTCCCGATAAAGAAGCAAATGCTCCTGGAAATACATCACCTGTGCCTTCAACTTCAACTGAGGATTTGGAGGAGAATACAGTGTCAAAAGGAGTGAGTTTTTTTGCATTATTACCTGTATGCTAAGATCATTTACTCATTTTGTATTAGTTCAATTTCATATTTTCTCTTACTTTGAGTAATAATAATAGAAATAGTTCAGATATTTTTTTATTTTAATTAATTTATGCGTTTGATATTCATGAGATTAGATTGATTGTTTTGCCTTTCAAAATTTATTTTCATATAGCATAATAATGGTCTGTAAGGCACAGTAGTTAAAGAAAGAATATTTTATGCAAATTCGGTACCATATGATTTTGTATTTTAAAAGATAGTGTATGTAATACAAATGTAGAAATGTTGTCAAATAAAGCATGCACAAAATTTTGCGTGCAAAAATAAAATAAAGCATGCACAAAATAATAATAAGTAACTTGTTCAGGTAGCAAAATTAGACAAGTAGAAAAATAATTATCACTGAATTTTTGTGTGGCTTTTCGTTGATTATTAGGAAAATATTGATGAAGTAGAGCCAGAAATAAGTGAAGTCCTGGTTGCTGATGATGAAGGAATATCACCAGGCAACGAAGCTGTTGTTTACTTAGATGAGTTGTCATGGAGACGGTATTTACCTCCACTGCCTAAGCATCTTGGTATGCAATTAAAAATAAATAAATGAAATATCTAGATTAAGAATTCTCTCATTCAAACTTGTATGCATTCTTAATGTAACAGCAATTGGCTGTTCTTAGCATTGATTTATTTACCTTTACACAATGTCATGCTTGCAGCATTTCTTTTAAATTTTCAAAATAAACATAAAAATGGGGTGAAATATTTCATAAAATTTTGAACAAATGATTCTCTTTAATTGACCTTGAATTTTTGCTTTATCGTGTTTTATTGTAATATTTTCTTTTCACAATTTTGGCTACATATTTTCATTTTATTCACAGGATATGGAAAAGGATGGTTCCTTGTTAGTGATGTCTTGTTCTCAATGCCTGTCTGCATGTTTTGTCACATCATTAGCTTACCATACAGAGTAAGTTCTTTGAAATACTTACCTAATTTTTCATTTTTATCATTTTTTCTTTCTTTTTTATTTTACAATTGATTGTAAGATAATTGGAAGTCAATTTTCAGATTTGATACAACTTAAGGCTTACCATGCAGGGTAAGTTCATTGAAATAGTCACATTTCTTATTTTACAATAAATTTGCAAGAAAAAAACTGATTCCAAGACATTTGTAATGATAGATATGCGATTCAAGCAATTTTGTTTGGATATTTGATTTGATGAGGTTTATTTGTAAATATGTTAAAAAATAAGTTGTTCCAGAAGAGACAAACGCATTTCCACTTGTCATCAGAGCTTTGTTCACATGACTGAGACTTGATCACATGACTGAGACTTGATCACATGACCTATTCATCAATGTGGGCTTGGACGAAGAATCATAATGCCAAGCATCACAGTGAAAAACATGTCTGTTTATAAATAATTGATTTTTTATTTGCAGGATATTTGGTGAAAATTAAATACTTAATACACAATAAATGTCATCAACGCAGTTTGAAAAATCCAAGTCTTTGTTAAAGTCACTACTTTTTTTCCAGATAAATGGGTTATTGGAAATCTTACAAGATCCAGTGAAAAAGTTTTATCTTGTGCGGCATCTACCAACTCAGATTGTCAAAGAGTTGTTGTATGGCAGACGTTTCTTGTTCTGTTTTCATGAAGTCCTGGAAACTCTGGCTGTGATGGGGTTACTCTCCTTTGCTGAGAATAAAAAAATGAAAGAGAAGGATTGGGTAGGTTGTTTGATTTTTAGTAGATGAAAGTGTATTCAGAAGATTTAATTTAACTTCCCCCTCTTAATATATATATCGAAATTATTATTTATACAAAAAAATCATCTTTAGTCCACCAATTCGCTTAAGAGTGGGTCATTTTAATTGGTCAATTTCTTTCCAGCAATTCACCTACATGTACAAGAAGGTCGGTCTCTTGGACACCAGGGAGTCGGCCCCAGGTTACAGTATGATCGAGACGGGGAGAGATTATCCAGTCAGAGAATACGAGTTCAAGAATTCTGAAGATATTGAGCAGTACTGGGTGGACCTCTTGCTCATATGTGGGGACACCCCGTTAGGTAATTTTATGATATATTATGTTTACATAGTATACTTTTGAAAACAGTCCTGATATCCGTATGGTAAGATCCATAAACTCAAACTCAAGGGATTCTGGTTTGCTGATCAGCTGAAGTATAATATCATTGTTCTTATAGCAATATCTCAGTGATAATTTTGATAAATATAAAGAGCATGAAAGTGCCAAGATCAAAAGGCAATGTCATGCTTCAATATGGTTAGAGTTTTTTTTACTGCAAGCTTACCAAAAAAATCAATATTATCATATCACATGTAACATGTCAATGTTAACTTATTATAGTGCAGCAGTGATCAAATCTGCACCTTTTTGCAACTATTGTACATTTTTCAGGGAAAGTATATCAGAAATTTCCAGAAGAAGTAACAAGGCCACGTATCTATGACATGTTCAGGGGGCTGATTAAATCGGCAACTTTTGCAGTGCCTGGTAACGAGCCCGAGGAGGGAAAACCCATGGGGAATGTAAACGGGGCTGCTGGATTTGATGCTAGTTTGATGGCGTGAGTTTTCACATTAAATTTCAAATAGTATCTAGAATTGATTTAACAAGTATGAATGATATACTTAATACAACTTATAATAATTATGATTATTAACTTCTGATTTCTATTGACAGATGCAAATAACCAGACAGATGAATAGATAAGTGAATGAATGAATGAATGACTGAGGGAATATTGAATGATTTTAGATATTTAGAAATAAAACAGCCATTCNGTGGAATGGCTGAAATGAGTAAATAAAATAAATGAATGAATAAATAGTGAGAAATTATTTTCTTATTCTTTCTATGCTCTTGTCAGACATTTGAGGAAGAACTGGCAGTGGAAGGCAGGGGCTGAGAAACTGTACACTCACTTAGACCAAGATAAATTTCTGCTGCAACACTGGAAAAAAAGTAGTGACCAAAAATGTGAGTCCTAAAAACAGAAAGATTTGGTGTCTGACTAGTAAAAAATGGATACTTTAGTTACCAGCCCAGTTTAGCAAATAGATTTTAAGATTTTTCTATGCTACCTTTTTATGTTTAAAATTTTGTAGATTTAATCTTGGAACTTGTTGATTTTGATTCAGAATTCTAGTTTTCTGAGACCTGCTGGCAAAAAAAAAAAAAAAAAAAAAAAAAAATTATTATTGAGACTGAATTGTGAGAAGTATTATTCATATTTTTAGTGAAAAAGGGTCGTCTCCGTCGCTTGACCCAAAGAACAGAACTCGCAGAGGCCAGTAGTGGTGGAATGACGAGGCAGAAATTTTTAGTTCTGTCTCCTACAGGGCAATCTTCAACACACAACACAGGTAATGGACTTATTTTACAGATATTTCAGTGGCTTACAATGTATAAAAGTAATTATTATAGTTTTCAATTATTTAGACTGTAAGTCTAACAACATGTACACATACACATATGATAAACAAAGTGAAAAACTTATAAAAGACAGATACAAATTTAGATTAGTAAACAGACACACAGCGGATATTTGTTACTTCTTTGCCAACTTATCATTTATATGTATTGTTTGTGAAATGCAGATGTAAGATACTCCATATAACTAGTAACTTCAAATACTCAGACAGCCATTAATCTCAAATGGAAATAAATCTCCAGAAGGGGACTTTTATCTCAGGTATTAACTCAAACTTACCACCATTGCCTATTAGTAACTAAAATTCTTCACAAACTTAACCAGACTTTCCTCTCCCATACATCAGAGGTATGCAACAAATAGATCTATCACCTGTGTGTGTGACACTGTGTGTTTTTTTTTTTTTTTTTGTTTCTTACTGTCAGCCCCCCAGGATCTGGCCCCTGGGTCCAAGGTTTACACTGTCCCAATAGAGGTCAAGAGCACCAAGGACATTAAACTGACCAAGGGCGGGAAGGGCATGAAGAGGAAAGGCTTGGCTAAGAAAGGTGTGGGACTATTTTCTGGTTGTTATCTGTGTATTTCAAGGAGAGTGCGTATTTGCTATAGTGCTGAAATTTTTAAAGATTTTTGTAAAAATTCTTTCAGATTTCATTTTGCTTAGATGTCTTTGAATTTTTTACTCTGAATTCCTTTGTAAATTGTCTGTATATGTGATATCCTTGATGTCGTTCAAATCTAAGTCTGGACTTAAAATATTTGTGAATAAATGATTGCTACATTTTCGAAGTGCTGAAGCCTTCATGACAAGTCTTAAGATATTTAGGAAATATCTCTGAGATAATAATGTATGTGTGTGTGTGTGAGGTAATTCTGTTGTTTTTCTAGGGGAAGGTCCAGAAGCCAAGAAAAAGAGGGAGGAAATTGAAAGCAGAAGGGTTAAAAGTAATACAATCTGTATACCTATTTTTGTGATATTTGCAGTGATTTCAATGCTTTATGTTTTCTTGGGATTTAGAAATCATCCTGTTAAATCTTTATGAACAACTCAAAATTAAGAAACGGGGGAAACATAATGTTAGAATTTCAATTGGAAACTGAAAAGGTAACATAATATTTTGTGGAAAAAAAGCACTTCATTTTTGAAAAGTAAATGGGAAAGTAAAATTTGTTGTTGGTTTATAATAGTAAAGAGAAGAAGGAAGGAAAAGAAGATAGACGAAGCTGATGTTTTAGCTGCTCAAAGAATGAATCGTCTCAGAGTGTTGTGGACTGCACAGGAAGATAGTATGGTATGTTACAGAATTCAGTGTAGTCTTCTGATTATTGAGCACTTTGCGAATGATGATGATGATAACATTAATGATGATAACTATAGTGATTTTTGTTCTGTTTTATTTATAAAACAAGTTGTTACAGGGGAAATAAATTTTAAAGGTCGTAGTGTAAAAATCTTCATTAAAAAAATTTTGTAAGAATAAGTAAGCATTTAAATTTTGCATTTTCAAAATGAAAGCATTTTTAAATTTTGCATTTTCAAAATGAAAAATGATTGATGTGTTTAAATCACAAGAAAGCAAATCAGTGAGAGCATGTTAGAAGCTATCAAATTCAGTAAAAACTGAGCCTAGCCATGTTATGTTGTGTTCACAATTTCATTTTAGCTATTGTTGATGAAAGTAACATCGCTCTTTATGAATCCTCATCTTCCGAAGTTTATTCTTCCCTGGAGAGTGGTTCGAGACATCCTCCATGAGCTGTCCCCTGTAAGATCATAATTTTATTTATTTATTTATTTATTTATTTATTTATTTATTTATTTATTTATTTATTTATTTATTTATTTATTATAATTTTACCAAAGTCTTTGATCTAGCATGCATACAATCGATTCATTAATTCATTTATTGTTAATGTTTGCCATGACTAAAGCATTGTTTGTGTTGTTGTTTAATTTTGAATAAGGTCTGGTAAGCCATTTTGTATCTTCACTTTTTAAGCATGTTTTTTTAATTGCATAAATTTTGTATTAATATTTTTTGTTTGATATTTACACAAAGTTTATAGAGTATATTACCTTTCTACATAAAATTATATGATTTTCGCATAGTACAAAACACATACTGTAACGGGTATAATTATGCAACTATAAATGTGTAAAACTAATAGCTTGGCACTTTATGTCTAGACCTCCCATGACAAGACCAGCAAAGCTTGTGCCAGAAGGGTGCTGTATATGATGAAAAACCCTCAGACCAAAAACAATGTCTCCATCGTTCTAGGAGAGACTCTGCAAGATCAGGTAATAATAATAATAATAATAATAATGCAGCTTTTATCCTAGCATTCTATACATCTTAGCCTTATTTGTGTATATAGCTTAAATCACAAGGCACATCAAGTGAAAACACACCAAACTAGTTACTACTTTTCATAAGTATCTTGTTACCTATGAAAGGTGTTGAAGACTGGGTTCCAAAACCTATATCCATCTAACAGAATAGATTCTTCTTTCGCAAAATTTTCAGCTTCAGCGGCTTTGATGTCTGGCACACCTACTGAAGCTGCTAAACAATAATTAATTAATTACCCCCTAGCAGCTTCAGTAGGCGTGACAGACATCTTAGCCGCATAAGTCGATTGCAATTTAGTGAGAATCCCCTCAGAGATAGAGCGATCCACAGTTAGACCTGTAGGGTCTGGGAATGGTCCCTAAGTTGTGTGCCTAAATATTAATCTTTGTCTGTTTCAGGATCTGGTCACAGAATTCAAAACCAAGAAGTATTTGCCAAAAGATATGGAAGCCAATGAGAAAGTCTTCAGAAAGCTTTTCTATAAACTCAAAGAAAAGTTTGAGTAAGTAAATCTTGATTCTTTTTGTCAAGAAAGATAAGTATGTGTTACTTTGTGTGGTTGGTGAACTTAATTCTTTACTTTGTTGCAGGTTGCTGACTTTTGTTTAAGTGTTACAAATTTGTTACAGGCTAAAATGATTTTTTAGTATCTGAAAACTATAAATCTAAAATACTCACTTGTAGCAAAAAAATAGAATGACTGAATTAATTTGGAAATTTACCCTCCCCTCCCCCCAAAAATGGGTTGGGGCACTTTGATGTAGTTTCCATGCCATAGGTATTATAACTTTTGTCACAATAAAGTAAAAAATATATTACTGTATCTGATGTTGCCAGGTTTTTAACAGCAAAATGAGTGTCAGGGACCTTCTGGATTGGTCAGATCTCTGTCATATTACTTCAGAAGTCCAAAATAATATTATATCCCCCTCCCTTCCCCCCCCCCCCCCCCCCCACCNGTAAAGTTTGGTCGTTAGTTCTCTCGTTACTCACCGTAGTCTCGAAACCGTCTGCTGGAAGTGGAACTCTTGCGTAAAAGTGTCACGAAAGCACTAACTCTCCAATTTTTGGTGGCTGGAAATGCATAAGAACGTCTGCTTTGAGGTCGTCGTAAAGGATCTCCACCGCCTTTTTGCTGCTCTTTTTGTCACAGCTAGGCGCAACCTCTCGTAAATTGCATCACCGTGTGTATATTCTAATAGATTCTGCCTTTCACGAAAACGTCGTAGACTACGTTGCCGTCTGGCGGTAAGGATAGCAAGAAAAGTAGCCGCCATATTGGATACAAAGACAAACGACAGACAACGGTAACTAAGCAACCTTTTTATTTCACTCATTACGCATGCGTACGATGAAACTCTAGAGTTAGCGACTGGTCTGACCAGTCGTTAAATATCCAAGGCAACAACGAGACAATAACGAGCAAGAGAACTAGCGATTGCTTCGTGAAACGGCACTATAACTAGCGAGAGGCTAACTACCGATCGCTAACTAACTACTGCTTTGTGAAACCGGCCCCAGAACATTCACTTTCTAAAAACTGTGTTGCATTCATTCTAAAACACCTCTTATATGAATGAAATTGTAGGAGCATGTTTGGTCCAGAGGAATACGAGCTCCCTGCTACACTGGAGCAACTCCAGGCTAGACACACTGTGTGTAGTGTGGGGAAACTCCCTGGGAAATCAGTGCACCGAGATGCCACGTGTGTCAGAGACATCCAGGCCAGCGTACTGCATAACATAGTTCAGGTTAGTCAAGTGCCATTTTGCTTACAGGTACTATCATTCTTTTCTGTGAGTGTATTTTGATAAAAGCTGAAAGCCCTGTGGATTTTTAAGGTCTATGTGAGATGAACTACAAAATTGGATTAAAACCTATTTTATGAGGAATAATCTTTATTGGCACTGGTACAAAATTAAAGACTTTGACCTATCTACATACTTCTATGATTTTTAATAGAATTAACGTAATTAGTACAAATGTAATTGTAAAGGTTGAAATAATAAACTTTAAGGTTTTTAGCATGATCTGATAGTAGGAAGTCCATTTTAATAACCTTCATGTATTTCTCTGTAGAAAGGTAGGGTGTCACTACTCCCAGTACCTTGAAGATCTTATTTATATTTTAAAGTTTATATTCAAACTTGGTATTATTTCTCAGAGTTCATGTGGCACAGTGGATAAAATGGGACGTCAATACATGATGTTCAGGGTGTACTCCCAGTATCCTGAAGATCTCCTCACTGAGGTATTTAACACCATGAGGAATGACCACATCATCAGCAAGAAGAAGGTAATTTGTATCAAAAATGTGGAACCTTCTATATTTTTTCACATACTTTCAGTTTCATTTTTGCTTCAAGCTTTTAGTTCTATTTACCATTGAAATTTTTGGCTGCATTTTGGTTTATTTGCTGTGGCAACCCCAATACCGATAAAGGCAATCAAATGCAGCCTGATTTAAGTGTTGCAAGAATACTGTAATAGAAAATTGGAATAGGTTGCTCCTTCATCCTTCACATTGAGCAGTGCTGGGGTAATTTCAATGTACATATTTTTTGATTGGTCCACGAGAGATTAAATTGATTTTAGTAATTGAATTGACACTCTGGTCAGTTCTCAGTGTCAATCTCAATTTGTTAAAAATTTGGATTCACTTTATTTGGAAGGTATAATTTTAATGATGATATTTGAAAGTTGTGAATCGTAGACGAGAATAATGTATTGATAGAGTGTTAATATTGATCAATGATATTTAATAATTTTAGAGAAAGAGCACTCATGAAATGCTGTCCTTTCTTGCTACAAAAACCTTCCATTTATCCCAAAGGTATGTACTATGTAATTGGTGCTTACAGATAAACAAACACTTTTGTTGATGCGTAGTTAACGCATTTCTAAGTCTTCTTTAGCAAATTTTAGAAATCAAAATTTTGTGTTGTGACATGAAAAGTTTTTTTTTAAAATTGATACTTCAGAAGACTTTATAAAGAGCAACAAATGCCTCCATGCTGTACCATAATAAGATTCAAGAGGTAGAAGCTCTAATCTTTATTTTTGAAAGAAGAACATGACTCCAATGTCTTCCATATCTGTTTAATTGTTTTTAATTAAAAAATAAAAAAAAAACTGATAATATTAAATGGAAATCATAAGAGATTATTGTTTATTGTAATGTCAATTTTAAATCATTAAGATATTACATATGTCATTTGAAATATAAGTAATTTGTTAAGTATCAATTTCAGGTATTCTCAGAAGTTCCAAGTCTTCTCATACCGTGCCACCATCTTTCCTGAGGCCAGTCACTATCTCTCCCTCTTGAATAGGGAAGTTGGTCATGACTTTACTGCAGAGAATACAGGTGGTGGATGTGCAGCTTTTATCACCATGTTGGCACTTGACAAGGTATGCAGGCCTGTGGCATTTAAAAGGAAAAGGTCCCCTCTGTGTAAAATTTTATCTAGGTATACGAAAGTGTCATGATAAACGATCCAGTTTTTCAGAAAAAGAACCCCCTTTTGAAATTGCTGGCTACAGGCATATGTATGGAAAATCAGTCCACACTTTTAGAATTGTTTGAATGAGAATCATCGGTGATAGGCCAAAGCCTCACAACTTAGTATAAAATCATGTGATAAAATTTGACAAGGTTTGGTATAAAATGGAATCAGAAATAATTTGGCAGATGTTCAAGTGCGGTGAGGCAATTAATAAAACTGACAGTATTTATCCACAGTTATTTTTTCTGGATGTTTTTGCTTATTAATTAGATCTGTATAATTAAAATCTGTTGCACAACAGCATGTATTTGCCATGTTTTGCATGTTACTTTTGCTTCCTAAGACCAAATTCCTGATGGATCCTCGCCTGTTTTCTAGTCTCTTACGACATCATGCATGCACAGTGCTTATAACATCATTTTAGGCTCTCTCCTATGATTTCCAGGGCAAACATGCACAATGAAATGAAATTATAAATTTCTTTACCATATCCACTTCTTAAACAGAATTCAGGTTTATATAATATGTATGTCTCCTTTTTTCTGTTAACATTAGGGATTATTGTAACATCCGGTCTGTGATGTTAACATGCTCTGGCTTAGTGCCAAATGGCAACCGCCAAAATGCCAGTAAAATGGAAGCCAGACAGGGGTATTTTTGCGAGTGTGTTCTGTTACTGGCCATGTATATTGTTTCTGCTTTGTGAATCTTAGATAAAAAAATAGAAAAAATCAGAAATTAAAATAAATAAATCCCAAAAAACAAACAAGCAAACAAAGAGGAAATAAACAAATAAAATAAAATATAAGATAAAGTTATTAAATAGTTATCCAATGAAATGAGATATTTGGCCTTATCCGCCACAAGAAATGCATTGTAAAATTAATGTTTCAGACCGACGATTTATTTCCATATACTATGAATTTATCTTGAAGAAGATCATATGATTGTTTAAAGATGCGTTTTGGTTTATCCCTTGGCATGTTGACTTTATTTGAGTTAAATAAAAACTATTACATGTGTTTTATGTTTGTGTTACTGGGAATCCACACTTGTTTCAAATTTATCTTTAAACCAATTTTCAGGCTTAATGATTATGACTATATGTTCAATGGGAAAAAAAATGATCAAACTTTCAGATACATAATTTTGGAATCATAGAAAAAATTGTTTCTATAATAGCATTAATTTTGTAGATCCTTTACTCTGTAGAATAAAAACTATAGGCTAGCCTGCTTTTCAATTTTGTTTGCTAGGAATGTTCTAATTTTTTCAAAATATAACACAAAAATACAGTATCCGTAAAATTCATAATTAATTTTCCCCATAGATAAGATTCAGTCATTACGGTAGTTTTTTGTGAAATAAGCCCCTTTTGTCCGTAGGGATGGTAGGCTAAAAGCTTCTAGTGCACATGTTCTCGCCAATTTGTGTAAAGAATCATGGTCTGCTGCTCCAAAATAAAATTGATTTTATGAATGTTATACTCAATTTTCCTGTATGGTGTTAAAACAGGAAAACAGTATTATCTGCCACTTGTCATGAAAGCGCTTGCGTCTGATAAAATATGTCGCAAATGCAAAAGTATGTCAACTGCCTGTTTTCTTCTAGTATTCAATATTTATGAGATATGGAATTCAAAACAAGAAATGTTGTGATTAACACATTTACACAATACTGAAATGAAAGTCCTGTAAGGCTTATCTGACTCTCTTGATTAAATATTTACCCTGGGTGAGATATTGACAATATATCTTTAGGGACTATTTTTTTCCTGTTTTCTTCCATGCCATGTAATTCAGTAACATGTATGGCCTTTTGTTACAGAAGTGGATCAACAAACACCATCTGGTATTCATTGTAGAATGCAGACAGTCTGTGCTGTTTGCACAAAAACTGATTCATCTTTCAATTTTATTGGAGTGTTTATACTTCATTCATAAGTTATTTGAGCAAAACAATCTGTTTGTTTTGCAGGCAACACCTGCTTTTGGCTTGCTTGGCAAAGTTTTATCTCACAAAATATATACTTCATGATGTCAGTAATTGTTTTGTCACAGTTAAATTTCTTTAGGTGTAGCTTTTGAAACGAGAGACCTTTTTCACCTATTATTTTTATGATTATCAAAGCTATGTCCAGAAAGAGACAAACCTGCCTTTGATAGACCAAGATGTCCTTGTTCTATGACCATTGTTCCGACTGTTAGTAATTCAGTAGTTTGAAGCACAGTGAGAACTATCTGTCGACCACCCTCTGCACAAAGCAATTTTATAAAAATTCATTGAATGGAGTAAATCTTTGCATGGGGAGATGGGCCCACTCATACTACTAAGTTACTTACAGATTATTTAAAACATATGATCTTAAAAATGACCAGGAAATTAATTTTTTAATAATCAACTTTAATTTTTTTTTTGTTTTCAGAAGAAAATATTAGGAAGATTTTACTGAATTTGGAACAAAAAAAGAAACTGATACTCTGTCCCAGTTCTCTCTGATGTGATGATTTTTGACAGCATGGTATTAAGAGAATAAAAACAGAATTCATGACACTTTTGGAAATTTTAAAATAAGAATTGCTCCTTTGTTTTTGTTATAACTTATACAGTATTTTTTCCCTTTTTTAGATCACTTATGATATAATAGTGCCTGACAGAGTGATTGACATAGAGAGGAAAAGGAGTGCAGGTGAAGAATCCCCCAATGAAAGTGACCAAGGAACCAGCGGACAAAAGAGTGAAGGTCAAGGCCAGTCAGAAGGCCAAGGTCATTCAGAAGGGGAAATGCAAGAAAGCCCATCTGATGGTCCCCAAGGAGCCAAAAGTAGTGTTGATTGTACTAAATCAATATCCTCTCAGCAAAAGAGCAGCCGGACTGTACTGGGTCAAGCAAAGAAAAATTTGGGTCAAGGAGATGAGGTATGTGGGTCAGTGACCGTGGAACAGAGTCGAAAAGATGACAACATGCCCCAGACCTCAGGGGAAAAAGCAGTTGTCGAGGAGGTAGCATTAATGGAAGAAGTCTTAAAGCCTGATGAGCAGGAAAACTCAATTGGGAATGAAGATAGAGATGTTGCAGTTGAGACCATGAAATCCCTGTCATCAGGTCTCTCTTCTGATGTACCTATGGAGACAGATATTGGAGATATGGAAAGTCAGCTGCGTCGCACCCTTGAATTAGCAAAGGCAGTGAGATTTCAAGGACCTGTGGTGGATGACGATGAAGAAGATGATAATTTGGCAATGATGGATGATGATGATGATGATGATGATGATGATGACCCCGAGTATGTTCCAGAAGGCTCTTGGCAGCACAAAAAGACAGAGAAGGGAAAATCTAGTGCCAAGTTGCCAGCAAAGGGTCAGATGAAGAAATCTGGGACAGGAGGAGAAAAGAAAATAGTAAAGAAACGGAAGGAAAAGCTGACCCCCAAGGCCAAAGCTCAAAGGCGATGGGAATTTAAAATGAAAGAAAGAGAGAGCAAACCATCCCATAAAAAGAACACTGTGATGATTAACATGGAGCAGTTGTTTTTTCATTCCCATATTCGGCCATTGAAACCAACAGATACCATTGTGCTGCGTTCTTGTGCCATTGTTACGAAATTAAAATCGTCCCACTTTGCCTCATCTCCATCTCTTTCAATCAACTCTGAAGAAATTCTGAGCAAAGAAGTCATTAAATCAATCAGAAAGTCTCAGACAAAGCTGATTCCACAGAAGGTGGACTTTGAAAATTTTCTGGAGAAACTGGCTGAGAATCCAGATTTGTCAAAGCAGGATGTTGAAAATGCTGCCTCCATATACAGAGCTGTAGAAAACTGGAAGGAGCTTGGAATTACTTGGGTAGAGCTGCAGGTAGGATTTACTTTGAAAGATGTGTAATAATAATAATAATAATAATAATAATAATAATAATAATAATAGTAATAATAATAAATTTTAAAAAATTATTTATTCATGTACTACCCTGCGTTACAATCCCTCACAGATCACCCAACACTCCATGGGCATATAGCCTGATGATGGTCTTGTGATAAGAGCCAAATGTACATGTAGCTGTCTTTAGAAAAGGTTGCTATGTAAGTGATTATCATGATGGTTATCAAATACAAGATCTTGGAACTTTGGACGATGTAATAGAAATATGAAACTTTTGAATATCTTTTCCAATACTTAAAATGGTAAATATGATTAGAAATGATGAGAAAATAGTGATAAAAGACACTACGTTAAGGATATGTTCCAAAAACTTTTACTACTGTCGTATTAATTGTAAAAGTGTTGCCTAGCCTGTTTTAAACAGATGATATCTGGTACAGTTTTTTCTCACTCCATGTAAAATCCACTTTGACAGTGTAAATGTAACATTCAGAGGGATTGACACGATGTGTGCATTTTAGGAGCATGTAAAAACATTTTGCCCTTCAAAACTGATGTACACAGACATGGTTCGTCAATAAGATATCGTCATTCTTTATCAAATCCGTGCATGCACTGTCATAACTTTGCTGATAGCTGACATAACTTTCGTTTTTCAATATCCTTCTGATTATCTTTGCCTTTTATTGGTAATCTCCATAAATTGGCATCTATTTAAAAAAAAAAAAAAAAATATATATATATATATATATATATAATTCTTTCTAATCTGAGTCTTTGATTTATGGCTGTGTGACTTAATTAGTACTAATATTTATTTTCATCCCAATTTTCTTTAGCAATTCTGAAAGTGTACCTGCTGTATAATCTGTATGATTACTTTGCCTACAGTTTTATCTTATGATGTGCATAAAAGTAAATTGTGAGAAGTGGTAGATAGCCTTCCATCAATAGATGGATTTTAATTTTTCAAAGATAAAAAGCTCATTTCAGGATGAAGATCAGAGTGTGTGTGTGTGTGTGTGTGTGTGTGTGTGTGTGTGTGAGAGAGAGAAAGAGAGAGAGAGAGAGTTGGTCAACTTAGTGTATTTGCACATAATTGAGTTGTACTTCACACAGACCCATGAAATATACCTCCCATTAAGATAAGAAAAAATAACATGTTTCTGCCATTTAAGTGATCAAACCTGCGTGTAGCACCTAACACTTAGAAAGCTACTGGAAACTAGCAGATGAATAATTAACCTAAATATAATGAAAGCTTTTTCAATTTACTGGGACATCAAAAAGTTTGGTTGCTTCCCCAGCGATGGGAGCTTTACAAACTATGAACAAAGACGATATTGCAAAAACCTGTAATAAAAAAATAGAACACATTTGTGGAATTGAGTCTGCTCTGGATGAGTTCACGGTTGCATTATACTTTGAATGAAAACTGTGGAGAGAATTAATTGTAAATGGATTTATTAAGGCAGGCATATTCCAGGCATGTCATTATGGCATGATGGTATATAGCCTGGTTTCTGATTGAGTAAGTTTGTCCATTAGTGCCAGTCACTGGAGCATTAGTGCAGGGTTTATATTAATATCACTTGGGTCTTTTTAATGGGGAAATTGTTAAAGGGATAATAACAACTCTTTACATGAGATTCAAAATTCCACAATGAATACATTGTAAACAACACAAAAATGTAGAAAATTCTATTTACCACCAAAACGGTTGTTATCACATTTATTCTGAAATCTATGTTTGCCATTTGACCATGTGGACCTAGATGGCTACTCTCTGAAATAATCTCTAAAAAGTATTACTCTTACAAGATTATTACGAAAACCATGCTAAAAAAAAAACAATCCACTGACTTTGATGTCAGAACAAATTCATTAACCATTGGAAAGTATGAAAAAATTGCCATTTTTCAGAGAAAATCTGTTGCATGGCACTTTTTCCACCAAAATGAAGAGCTGTTATCCTTTTAAAACTTGGGCCATCTCTCCCAAAAGTTCTTACAAGTAAAGTTGGTCATAACTTTTAAATTGAAAAAAATTTGGATAACAATTTAATCATTTGCTTGAATCATCCTGCAGACTCAGAATGACAGATAATAGTCAACACACCAAGTGTATGCTGTGAGAGTTTTCCTAAATGGCCCTGAACTAGATCAGTTGTTACCTAAACTATGGAACAATGAAGCTTCTAAAGAACAGGAAACTTATACAGTGACTAAGTGATAGATTGCACAAGAGATTAAAGAAGATTTTTTTAGTTCCATGAAGGCATCCTTACAAAATGAGGACACACTTCAAGCATTTCATGTTTCATCCAATTTGTTTGATGACTCTTAGATAGTTTAAGATTCATCAAATCCATGTTTGGGAAGAGCATCTAAGACTGAAATATTATGGAACTGTAAAGTGGAATGGCATAATTTGCCTAAGGAATAAAAGAAAGAGTAAATATTCTTCAAAACCCTTACGAAAAAGTCCTATAGGATCCTATAAGATCCTATAGGATTCTATAGGAAATTGGCCCAAAATCCTATAGGATCCTATAGGATCTTATAGGATCCTATAGGACTTTTTCGTTAGGGAAGTGATTGACCAAATAGGACATTGTAGGATATTAATTGAAAAAAGGATAAAATGTTTATATGGACTTAGTAATATGCTGTGTAACCATTCACAGTTAAATCTTGAAATTGAATTTTCTCGATGTAAATTTAATACAATATCAAGTAGGCGTCACAAAATGAATAGTTACTGTAGGGTTTCCTCCATTATTTTTATGTACAGACACAGATGAATGCATGATGCCATCTTGGAGATTGATTGTATATCTCACAAGTATTCTTATCACGGTGAAAAGAAATTAAATGGATATACATTTGAATGAACAAAATCAAAGAAAAAACACTGTTGTCATAATTTTGCACGGGTATACACCGTACCTTTAACAGTGCTTTATTTGAACAATACTTATGCCACAGTTAGGGTATTATTTTAAAAATCTATAAATTTAGCACATTCATTAATGTATCCACCTAAAAGTATGTGATGTAATAACATCAATCACACTGTATAATTGATTTTGATTGAACTGTATTTTGTGTGATGTCGCTATTTCTGCATGAAATAAAACATTTGTTACGTTTAGTATATATAAGTAATTGTAGTGTCTGATGGTTTCATCATCCTGATCATAATTGGAAAGTTGCATGTTCATAATGTACAGTTTGAGACTGCCCCATTGACACTGATTGTCAGAACCCATCTTTCATCATTGGTATTTTATAATGATACAGAAATGGATGTGAGATGAGGTAATTTTATGAGCTGTAGAGTAAAGGCATGTTTTTTCCATTTACAGTAATTTGGTATTTCCATTTACAGTAATTTGGTGTTTTTTTCCTTGATAAACTAAACCATGGAATAAAATTTTCATTTTGATCCCTCACGTACTGCCCTGATTTCCATTTCTAGTAATTGCCAGCTTTTTTGTTTTCACACCTCCCTATTTGCCCATGCATTGAAAATTGGGGATGATTTTTAATCTTATCTTTTCAAAAGTACCTTTTTAGATTATTTTAATCTGATGTCAAAGTTTCTTTATTTACTTCAGTATGAATATGAATCATCATTGCTGTTTAATTTTAATGTTTTTTTAAAATAGTTATTATAATATCATTTAAGGCATTATCAAATGTAAATATAATTAACTAAATAAAGATAATGCAAAGCTTTTGTGTATATAGAAGCATAATATTAGGCTAAAGATATTTACTTTTTTTCTAGAGGTTGGTTGGGCATGTGTCAAGGTTTTCCCATCTCCTCTCCCTTCTGATGGAGAACTTTCTGGTAAGTCTTTCTAGCTACGTGTATATTATTCACTCTTCCCACTCAAATCTCATCTTCATTCCTCAAAATAACCAACCATTTTTATAGTTGCATGCAGACATTTGATATTTTTGTGGTCTGTATATTTCACTCTCATTTGCTCCTAGTATTTTTCATTGTTTATGGTGGTTTAAACATTTAGCACAACTGCAAAGAAACAATTTTAGATGCACCACTGCGAGTAATATGAGATGTAAAAAGAATGTTTGTTATTTTTTTAATAAATACACATATCATATTTGAAGTCACAACCATGAAACTGAATATATTTGAACAATATGTCAAATATATGTTCAGACATAAGTTGTCAGATGGACAAAATGATATTCTGATTTTGGTGACATTCTTTTTTCTGTGAAAGGCTTTATTCAGTATAAATTACAGGTAATGTGTATGAGGTTTTCAGGTAATGTGCACTAAATGGGCAGGAAGTATGAATTAAATTGCCAGGTGGTGTGTGTCAGAGTGTCATATAATGTGCATTGAGATATCAGGTAATGTGTATTAAGGTGTCTGGTAATGTGTATTGAGATATCAGGTAATGTGTATTAAGGTGTCTGGTAATGTGTATTGAGATATCAGGTAATGTGTATTAAGGTGTATGATGATGTGTATGGAGACATCAGGTAATGTGTATTAAGGTGTATGATGATGTGGATGGAGACATCAGGTAATGTGTATTAAGGTGTATGATGATGTGTATGGAGACATCAGGTATTGTGTATTAAGGTGTATGATGATGTGGATGGAGACATTGGGTAATGTGTATTAAGGTGTATGATGATGTGGATTGAGGCATCAAGTGATGTATATTAAGGTTTCAGATAATATGTATTGAGACATCAGGTAATGTAATATTAAAGGGATAATAACTCTTCGTTTTGGCCAGAAAATGAAATTTCCTGGAGTAAACAACAATTTTCCCATACTTACCAATGGTTAATGAATTCATTTTAACACTCAAAGTTAGTCCGTTTTTTTTTTTTTTCTAAAAAGTTTGGTTTTTTGTTAAAATCTCTTAGGAGATTGAACTCTTAGGAGATTTTAACAGAGTATAGCCATCAATGGAGGTCACGTGGTCTAAAGACAAACTCAGATATGAGAATAATAGCCTTTTTTTGAGGTAAAACGGAATATATTATATTTTTATGAGTTAATCAGAATGTGATTATTGTGAAATATAGATCTCACATGAAGAGTTATTATCCCTTTAAGGTGTCAGTGAGGAAGAGTTGCGTGCATCTTACATAATATTGCAGCAAAAGTTCTACAAGTTCTATCAAATGATGGGTCACATCACTGTGAATAAAAAAAGATCAACATAAAATATTATCATAATATATCATTAAATTCCATATCTGATTCAGCTGTAATGCATTTTGCAGAGAAAAAAAAGATTAATATAACCTATTGTTTGTCCTATAATCTGCTATAAGACAGTGAATGGATTCCCTGAGGGAAAGCTGTCCGCGGATCAACTTAGCTTGTGAAAGTGGCCTAGTAACTATTTATGTTGCTATTATAATTATGATATATATCTCAAAACCAAGCCACTTTATAAATTTAAAGAGAAGAATCTGTGAACGACTTAACATAAATCGGTCTGCATTGTTGATACTACCCTATGCCAAATGTAAAAATTTAATAGATTTGTGCAGTTCACTAAATTTGTTTTGTGCCTGGAGATCATTACTAGGATCTGTAATCCCTGAGGGCCAGTAGGCGTAAATAGTATGTGGCACAGACTGAGTCTGTAACAAGTTACGGTCACCTTGAATTGGTGGCAATTTGATCGCAAGAAGGTGTGCGTGTGAAAATCATGCCCACTGCAAACCATTACATGCAAAACTTTTTTTTGAGGCCACAACTGTCTTTGCCTATTCAAAGAGAATTCATTGACTAGAAAATGGATACTTAACAGGCATTGAGGTTTTAGAAACCCAATCTTAAAGAAAACCTTTTCAATGCAAATTCAATATTTTCAGTGGTTTCTTACAGATTTGTGTATATGCGGTAGGCTGCGTAGGAGAAACATTTTGTTAAACATACTTAAAAAGATTTGATAATCTTAGGTGTCTGGTTAAAAGGAAAAGGAGAAGAATCAAGTCGTCCCACACTTCTCAAGGGATATAGAATCTAGTGTGATAATTTATATTAAAAAAATGGTATTAGATTGTTTTGGAACAGGCTAGATCTTGTTGTTATGGCATGTGAACAGTTTTAGAGAAATGAAATGTTGTCACCACATGGGACCCCCCCCCTAAAAAAAAAATAATAATAATAAATAAATAAATAAACGTGCTAACTGATATGCATTTTCACTCACCACCTGCTGAAATATTTTTTGGCAAGGGACAACAAGATATATTAGAATCTTGGTAGTCAAATTTTCATTTATTTTGTGGAAAACTAGTTGGTTAAGTAAAAAAGGTAGAAAGAAAGAAAGAAAGAAAGGCTCCAGAGAAGAGAGTCCAAAAATTTGGCCTAGTTGCTGAGTAAATTGAGATACGTAGGTTTTTCTTGCTGTTATCTGCTTGAACAATATTTTAGACAAGCATTTTGCTATAGAAAGAAAAAAAAGTTAAATACCAAAAGGGCAATCAATATTACTTAAAAGGTAGGTGAGACTTAAAGGGCTACATGTTTCTGTCATCATATCCCTTAAGATACACATGTGGCTACAAATGAGGGACAATTTTATCCGAAACAGAAATCTGCTGAATGTGATAGTCCTTTGGGAATGCTTTTGTCATTATATAAGCTCAGCAGATTTACAGGTGGGACAAGATAGTAATGGGATCCCTAACTCACTGATGAACTTCCCTTTAAAATGAGCATTTCCTCAATCATCCCAGTTAAGGATCAATAATTTCTTCAGATGACTGAAACACAATTGAAATTTTATAACTGGTTTGTTACATGGTTGCGAATTTTGAAATCGAGACACAATTGTGAATTCGCTGCTATACGATTAATTCAGAAGTCTTTATTCATTTAGTCTACACCTTTACACATAAGGTATAATCATAAGACAAATATGACTAACTACATCTTTACACAAATAAATAAGCAATGCAGTTACATAAATAAATAAATAAATAAATAAATAAACAAATAAATAAATAGGCAGCATAACAACACATGAATTTAAATTATAATGAAAGCAGCCATGGGGCATTGGTATGTGGCAAGACGTATACCCTGCAGAAGTTGTCAATGGCACTATCACATTCTCAAATCAACAGCAAAGCACCATAATCCAGAGATATGTCTAATCCAAAAGAAAAGGGAATTGATATCAGCAGAGGAATCACAGAGACAATGTTTTTCAAGAAATGATTGGAAATAAATGTAGTAGCTTTAGAAGACGATATGTTGCTACAGCATAACTACATAAAAATCATCACATTCTGAATGGTATCAGGTTTTCTTATTATAGCACACAGATTTTGAAACAGGCCATTTCATCTCCACTTACCACATTTGTAAGTGTATTGTCGATTTTAGGTTAGTGTGTGTCTCATCGTAAAAGGTTAGTATGTGTCTTGTCCTGGAAATGGGGGATGCTCAAATGAAAGTGGGTACTTTATGTCGCAGAAGTCAGAGTGTTCTTTGCAAAACACAATTAGAACTTGATATTCACATTGCACTTTGAGCATATTTATAACACAGCTTTAATAGGAGGTTGAGTTACACTAGCTATTATATTGCATTATAAAGCTTATCTCTGAGTTTCCTAATTGGCTGACTTTCCTAATTGGCTGTACAAATAAATTTTTACTTTCATATTTAAAGCATACTGAACTCAGAAGCAAAATGTACTTCAAAGTAGAATCCTTTTCAAAAAAAAAAAAAATGATCCAAGATATTTTAACTGCATGTGACCGCTCTTGGTCAATCAGTGAGTTTCAAAATGCATGGCTATGTAACAGTTATTATTTTTATTATTATTAATATCACTATTGTACAGATATGATATTATTAATATTATTATTATTATTATACCTGACTAATGATCACGATCCTCTTTTAATAATTAAGTAGTAAAAAATAATGAGGTGCCATTTATGCAGAGAAATGTATGCTTGCATGCAGCATATTTTTTTCACCAGTGACAGATGTTGTGCCAATTTTTATCTATACCAATGAATTTTTAATAAATGTGGTGAAATGTGTTAAGGAAGTCTATATAGATAAGATTAGCAGATGAGATTTAGATTTAAAAGCAACATGGTTTTTATTATTCGCTATAAGTGTTTGAGTTAAAAGGAATTGTAACATAGTCTTGTTCAGTCTGAGAGAACAGATAAGCTTCCAGATGTCTGCAACGTGCTTCCAGTTTGCAAGCATGACCAGGGGGACATAAACAACCATTTGTAGGAGTAGAGAGCACATCAAAAATCTATTCTCTTAATGGATGGGATTTCTTTTAGCTCCAGGAAATAATTGTATCCACAGCTACCTGACAGTTTAGTTCAGACATATAACACACCACGTCTTTCAAGTTGACTAAAATAATGAAAAAACGGCCCTGGGGCTACAAAATGAGTTATGAAATTGACCGTGAATTCCCTGCAAAGCCGGTTCATACTCTGGGGGTGTTATTTCCCCACAATAGTAATATCCACATTTTCCTGGAACTTTGTTGCCTCTGGGAAGTTTGCTAGGCAGAGATTGGACTTTAAGTGAAGATGGGAATGGATGAGAAGAAATTGGGTCACATCGGGATTATTGCAACTGCAGAACCTAAGTGAATAATCATGTAAGATTGTAGAATATACATGGTAGCGCTGAGCAGGTGTAACATTGATGTATTGCATTAGGCCCAGGACCTCCCACTCTGGTGTGGAATACTTTTTAAAAAAGCAATTTGGCTGGCACAAATAGTGCAGCATGCATGGACTGTGGGTGCCAACTTTATTTCCTGAAAAAATGGTCATGGGCAAATTCCCTCCCGATGC